AGTTTATGCAGATATTATTGCCAAGAAATTATTCTCCCATAAACACAAGGATTGGATCTTGCTGCCCCAAAATGAGAATTTTACTCTAACCACATAAAAAGAACAACTTCATAAACACAGGAAGAAAGAGAAAGGATGCTTCCTGGGAGAAGGAAGTCCATTTAAAGCATGAATAAATTGAGGCAGTTAGGAGAAAGAAGCTTGTAATGCAAATAGAGGTTTATTACCCATTTTTTTTTCTGTTTCTAAGAAACACAGGGTCAAGTAGGCTTATGGAATAAAAGACAAAGGCAACTCTTTTGGCAACTGTCATGTCCCAGAGCAGTAATTATCTCTCTCTTCCCGTGAGCGACAGGAAATGAAGAGTGGTGCCATTACACTATGAGAATTACTGTAATTTTGATTTCTAAAAATTGCCAGGAAAGTTTCCTCTTAAAAATAAATAAATAAAAAAATAAAAACAGTCCGTTCAGATTTTTGATGTGGTCTCAGTTTTAAACTCATTCCTCAGCTAAGGCAGAGTTTTGATTCCCCTCACAGTTATGTTAACAAGTTGCCCAAGGAGGTTGTGGATGCCCCATCCCTGGAGGCATTCAAGACCAGGCTGGATGTGGCTCTGGGCAGCCTGGTCTGCTGGTTGGTGACCCTGCACATAGCAGGGGGGTTGAAACTAGATGAGCATTGTGGTCCTTTTCAACCCAGGCATTCTATGACTCTATGATTCTTGTGGGGAACTGGTCATAAAATTCAAATGGTGAGAAATTCAAATGTCTTCATTAAATGAGAACGTAAACAGCTATAGGGGGGTCAGTTAAGATCTACAGAAGATGGAGGTGGACTGAAGACATGTCACTGGTGCAATAATAATGCAAAGCATGGGTTATCCCAGCTAGCTACTGCCAGAGAAAGGTACTTAGGAGCCCAAGTTTTTCAGTACAGTCTGATGTTTGGTTAAATATCACTTAAACTTAGAATCACAGAATCATCGAGGTTAGAAAACATCACTAGGATCATCAAGTCCAACCTTCATCCTATTACCACTACACCCACTAAACCACGTCCCTAAACTTGTTTCAACCACAGGCATAGTAACATATTCCTCTTTCAATGGGAAGGGGATGATGTGAAATGAAAAGTAATTAAAAAATAATTAAAAAGAAAGATTCCTTTAACCGCCTATGGATTTTCTGCCGGCTGTCGTTTATTACTTCAATATTATGGATAATCTGTTCTGTGCTGTTAGAACATTATCACAATTTATTATCCCAACTGTTGCCCTGTGGGATGGACTCATCCCAAGAGGATATGCAGCTGCCCAACCTCGTCTACATCTGACTGTGCTGCCCTGGGTTCTGCATTACTGCTTGGGGGTCAGATGCAAAAAACACCCCCTTGTTCTCCAGAGGACTCTTTGTATGGAAACAGGAATGGATGCTTTGAATGTAAGTGTATCTACACGGTGGGAGAAGGTGGAGTAGGGCTCCATGATCCTTATGGGTCCCTTCCAACTTGTGATTTTCTATGATTCTATGATTCAAGACATACGTGCCCCATACACAGGCAGGAACTGGAGGCAATCATCCCAGAGTTGGTATATCACCAAATACACCACTAACTCTGCTGCATGCCACATCAGCATTTCTCACACACGCACAGAGAAACAGAACTGCTGCTTTTCAGGATTCCTCTGTGCGCTCTCTTAATGAGACATCTGAGGTCTCATTCTGGCCACCTGGTAAATATTTAAAATGGCTTTAACAGATTCAAGGCAAAGAGATTTTTTCAATTATTTACCACAATTCACTTTCAACAACGATCACTTAGCATTGTAAAAATTTGTGTCTTTCAATATGTAACCCAGCTACGGAACTACATTGATCGGCCTGAACACAAATACATTCATACCAACATATATTTGATTAAGAATTTATACGTCAGGCTTCAAGGAATTTTGGATCGATGCCTTTACTTTGCTTTTATAAATAAGTAAACTCAATTAAACATTTCTTACAGCAAATCACAATGGGCAGGAGAATCATTCTGCAGCTCCTCTTTCCAATTTCTACCTATTACATGGATTTTGGAAACTAATTACTCTCTAAAGGGAACTTATTAGAGTTTGTGTTACCAAATACATCTCTCCCACCCACCACTGAAGAAAGGAACAACATGAATGCGTTGAAAAAAACAAGTGTCCTTCAATTCTCTCATAATTTGATGTAATAAATGCAGCATACAGAAAATAGAACAAAGACCTGCAGGTAAGCAGTATTTGAATTAATACCGGATCTGCACCAAAGTCAAGAAGTTGACTGTACAGTCTCACCAGACCCATAAATCAGGTGCCCTGAACGTACGTAGTATTTTGCATTACTGTATAGGGTGTTAGCTTTAATGGTGCAATATATGCACATGGTGGTCAAGTTACAGCTGCTGTGGGAACTATAATTTTGCACGGTCTGACCAATCTGAAGCAGAAAAATACTAATAAGTAAAACAGTCACAGCACTGCATTCCCTTCAGCATGTTTCATACATCCAATTTCACTCTTGTATTTGAAGGAGCAGGAAAATAAGATACAAATAAAGCTGCGGATGTATAGGAACCAGCTGAAATGGATGAGAATTATCCATCAGCTTTTTCAAGCAGCTTGCATGAAACCTCATGATTCCAAGCTAAGCAAGTGTAACTGCATGAAAATGGATGTGCTCTCAGGCACGGTACATGCACAAACCATACTGTGAGAGTGTCCGTGCCCAGCAGACATGAATGAGTGCATAAGCTCACCTCTGAGTCAGAAGCATCTCATCAAGGAGATATTACAACATACTTTTTCATAATGCACCAAAGCCAAACGCTGGCATTCTCCTGCAAGTGACAGGTACAAGGAAAACCAATCTGCAGCTGAGCAAGCTTAACACATCTACTGATGCTGCCTGACTGACATCAAGTTCTTAGTAATACAGTCAGTCTCCTAATGGGGAGGATTACTACCTATTTTAATGGAAAAGAGTTTGTCCTGTTCTTCCTCCAGCCTTCCTTTACTTTCAATCCCACCATTATTTGCTTCCAGGATTTGTACTCAATATCTTTTTTTCTTTTTTTTTTTTCCCCTCTGTTAATACTCATTCCCACAGAAGGCTTTTTGTGGAGTCATCAACCATTTTCAATGTATCAAATAAACTGACTGCATTCAGATTTACTCCAGGTGCCGGGATAGACAACAGCTATGTAAAAATTAGTCCTCTTCATCCAAGGAGCACTGGTTAATTGTTGCCAGTGTCCACCATCATGTGGAACAGGCATGGCCCTATGTGATAACCTTGGTGAGACTAGAGCTGTTCCCACCCCTGCTCCCCCCACTCCACTGACAGACTGTAGTCTAATGAAGATGGTTAAAAGCACAAGCAGCACTTTGATATACATGACAAGAAAACAAACCACAGCTAAGTTACTGAAAACAAAGCCCCTTATCTCTGAGCTTAACCATCAAAATCGATGCCTGTTTGACAATCATGGGATTTGACCACAATTCAAGAATATGCTATTTGTGATCACACACAGTTCTAATGTCCAGTACTCATCATCAATTGGTGGATGAAAATAAGGCATAACGTTTCTATAAATACATAGCTGAAAATCAACAAATCCAAAGGTGCCATTGGAAATGCCTGACAAAGCTACAGGAATACATTAGCACTTTGGCACACAGAAGCCTTAGTTTAATTGGCACTAACACCTAAAAGCTAGCAAGTGATAACAAGGTCTGATGTAAACCACAACTGAGTCATAGAATCATAGAATCACAGAATTGTTTGAGTTGGATGAGACCTTTAAAAGTCATCTAGTCCAACCCCCTTGCAATGAACAGAGACATGCATAGATAGATATAGTTGCACAGAGTTTGTTCTAGCCTTAAAATCTATGTAATATTGAAGCTCTAGTTCATTGACTTGCCCTAACGGTAGAGCCTTCAGTGACATCATCACCCTTCCTTACCAAAAAGAATAATATTACAATCATTTCCCATCTACATGTTAAAGAAGACATAGAAAACCACGGGGTATGACCAAATAGGAAATGAAGATTCATTCAAAAAGCAGGAAATCTGCTAACTGCACCTTTTAAAAAGCAAAGAAAGAGTATCAAGAATATAAAAAATAATCAGCAAAATAAGGCACGCAGTTCTACTGTTTGGTACCATGTTACCACTTTCAAGCACCTAAAAGCTGCTCTCTGTGCAAGACCTGAAAGGCCAATTCAATATCTGCTGGAATCACACTACAGCAAACTGATTTCCTGGTATCTAACCCTTCTCATTTCTTATATATATGCATGTATATACAAGCATATCTACACAAACACTTATTTACATCCTTGTTGAATACGCACACAGATGTATATTTTATCATACATGTGCATGCATACCTACACATACATCGAAACACATGCTTAGAATTACAGTGCTCTCTGAGTACATCTATCGTTTGCTCATTGACAAACATCCTAAGATATGTAAAAAGCAGGAAAAAAGGTTGTATTTGTGTATGCATACAATTGCTAACCACAGTGTAGTGTAGGTGAAGAACACAGGATTCGTGATCCGTCTTAAAATCAAGCACAGAGCTCAGATAAAAACCTTCTCACCTACTTCTTGCACTTGGGGTGGGATTTCACTTAGCCTAGAAGACCAGCTTCTGGGGAAGAGTGTACAGAACTGTTCTTTGATAAATTACAGAACAGATAAAACCCTCGGAAAGAAGAACAGTCCCATGGGAACAGAAAAGAAGAGAATAATTAAACAGGTCTTACACATCTCTTCTTCCTCAGTTCTGTATCTTCCGCCTCCAAGGATGTCACACACTATTATTTGAAAACCACATCACTGGCTTCAGTGCAGGTCTTGGGGGAGGAACATGCTCCTCAGCATCGTTAGCAGGATAGAAAATAGCACTTTCTTAGCAACGTACTGTTACAGACACAGACAAACATGAACTTACTTGTTTGCTACTTCTCTGCCCAGTAGGAAGCAAAGCTTTGGATTTCTCTGCTATTTTCTGTAAAAAGGAAGAAGAAAAAAAATGAAGGAAAATGGTTGAGAAAACACAATCGAAATACTTAGGGAAGAAGTCATAGGGAATTATTTCTTCTACTACTTAAGGAATAAAAGACAAAGAGAAAAATCTTATTATTTAAAAAAGAAAGGGAGTATAACCACATGGAAAAGTTTGGTCCTGCAGAATTAATAGTCTTCAAAGCTTCCAGAATAACAAGGTTATCAGAACTGAAATGCGTATTTAAGAAATGACAGCTAGGATGTAATAAGTAGCAATTTACCACTCAGATTGGTTTCCTGACGCAACTGGGCATTCACAAAATGCAGAGGCTAATTTTGTCACTTCTGAATTGATGACAGTTTAAAAAATAAAAAAAAAATAAAAAGCAGACATACAATTCAGATGGATTATACTCGTGAATATTAAAAAAGTACAAAAAAGGTGTGTATATATGGGGCTGGAACCCTTTACCTGAATCCTTTCAACTTCTCATTTAATGGGATAAAATCATTTCATTTAAAGCCCCCACAATTGGTTTATGAATAGGCCAGAAGAAGAGTTAGCAGTTGTAGAGATAATGAAATTATATTATAGTATATACATGCTGTTGAAGAGCAATTTTAGGCACTTATTAAAATATTTTTTAAACCATAGCCAGCAAGTATTGGAGAATCAATCAGAGCAGAATGGTTCTAATAAGAGAAATTGTTTCCAGCCAAATTTCTTTATTCCAGTATAATTCCAGTATATTCTTCCCAGGTGTTGTGGGCACGGATAAAATTCACTACAGTAGAATGAGAGATCATGTAGGTTATATTTCTACAGAATTCAATTAATCCAGATATATGTTCAAATTTGTTATATGCAGGTAGCAGCAAAGGAGAGAGAAGTGTTTTAAGGATGGTGAATTTAAATTGTTACTACAGTGTTTAAAAGCAAAGCAAATCTGCAGAGTCTCCCCAGGGTAAAGTGGAAGAGCAAGATGCAAATGGAAGATCTAGAGTTCAGCATTTGTTTGTTTTATTAAACAGCTTGATCTCCTTGACAGATCCAACCCACAGGATGTGTTTGGAAACCTTCTGACAGAGACATAGAGAACAGCAGAGCCATACAGCCAGCTAACAATTAAGGTGAATAGCAGTGTTGCCTGTACATTATTTGCAACAAAGGTGAAGGGGACATTGTTCAATCACTTCTTGCTCTACCACTGAGTGGAGAAACACAACAAATTTGTAATGGCCATGACAGGGGTACCACTGAATGTCCATCACATAGACAAAGGCACAGTTTTGTTTTTTTCCTTTTCTGTTGTTCTGTCATTGTTGCTCAGCACAGAATTACAGAACCACAGATTATCCCAAGTCACAAGGAAGCCAAGTCCAACTCCTGGCTCCATAGAGAACCACCTAAAATCCAAACTCTATGTCTAAGAGTGGTGTCCTCGAACTCCAGCAGCTCAGGGCTGTGCCCACTGCTGTAGGAAGCTTAATGTTCCATGCCCACCACCCTCTGGTGCATTTCTGAACACCCACCTGGCCCTCCCTTGACACAGCTCCCTCATGAGGAAGCTGCAGGCCACCATGAGAGCTCTCCTTAGCTTGCTCTGGGCTGAACAAAGAAAAGAACCTCAGCTGCTCCTCATCTATCTTGCCCTCCAGATCCTTCCCCATCTTCATAGCCCTCCTTCAGATGCTTCAGAGTTGGAAGGGACCTTCAAAGGTCATCTAGTCCAACTTCTCTGCAATGAAGAGAGACAGCTGTAGAGATGAGATGAGCTGTACAGAGATGTTCCATGCTCCTAGCAGTCATGTTAGCTCCCACTTATTGTGTTCCCAAATATAGAGACTGAAAGGTAAAAACAAGAGAGCCCCTCACCTTCTGCACAGCTCCATATCTTTGGATGGCATCAGACAGCTGGTTCTTCAGCCTATCCAGCTGAAGTCGTTCTTGCTGTGTTGGGAGAACAAAGACCTGGTTAGCAAGAGCTAATTCAAGTAGTTGACTCTTTCTTGGGGGGATCAGCACAAAGAGCTGAGAGGGGACAGCACTAGGACAGCTGACCTAAACTGGCCAAATGGATATTGCACACCATATGATTTACGTGAAGAAACTGTAAACTCATGGGCTTTGGATAGGGGACAGCACTGCTCAATGACTGACTGGGTATTGGTTGACAGGTGAGGAGCAGTTGCTTCGTGCATCACTTGTTTTGTAAATATAAATATACATGCACACATAAACACATTATATGTATATATATTATTACCATTATCGTTATTTCTTTCTTCCTTTTCTTAGTAAATTGCTCTTACCTCAACCCATGAATTCTTTTTTTTTTTTTTTTTCTGATTCTCTCCCCAATCCCACTGGGAGAAAGGAAGCAAGCAAAAGGCCAGGAGGTGCTGAGTTGCTTTCAGGGTTAAACCACAACATTCAGACAACTGCTTAAGAATACGCAAGTATTTTATAAGGGATAGGATAAACAGCTTTAATTTTTAATGGAAGCATTTTCATACAGAAGAATATTCCCAGTCTTATAGTTCATCATCCAAAGATTTAAAACCATTTTTAGAACTGGGTAAATATCATTATTCCCACTCTACCAATAAAGGCCTATAAACTTTGTTACTTACGCAAAATAAGACAAGACAGACACCCTGGAGAGCTGATCTAATGGTCCAGCACTCATTCTACAGAAACACGGAATCTAGATAGGCCTCTCTATTTAAGCCCTATGAGATTACTTTAAAAGGAAGCCCTAAAATAACCATGTGCTATTTTACATCAATCTCCTGCCTTGTATCACACTGATCCCCTTACATCAGTATCTTTGCTCCTGAAATACCATCAATTTGCTCAGTCAGGCATCCTGACTCCAATAGCTCCAGCAGCACATGGAGCTTCAAGAAAGTCAGAGAAACTCCCACTGTGCACCTTGCTGGCTGTGCGTTACAGCTGGAAAACAAGGGGTGGAAAGGATATTTATTTTTTTTGTCCATGGCTGCATACAAAGCAAAACACAGAATAATGGGTTGGGAAGGTCTGATTATAAAGCTCTAAATTAATTGAATGATTTTCAAAGTGAGAAATTTTATGGGAGGAAAGTTTGAACTGCTACCAAGATCCCCAGTAGGGACTTGCCAACGCAGCAGTTGATACCCACCACAATCATTAATTCTATATAAGGAAGAAGGGCTTCAGGCTTTATATCAAAATTTGTAGGTTTAATTACTTGAACTGCAAACTGTTGGAAAAGAAGAGTTAAAAATAATAAAATCTGTTAAACGAATTGACCAGGGAGTAGAAAAAGTTATTAGGTGATGCCAGTAGAGAGCGGCAAGTTTATTCCTCATATTACTAAAATTGTTTATGTGTCGATTTCCTTCTGGTCTTAAATATTCTCCCTTTAACTTAGCAGTTTTTCTCCACGTGACAGTAAAAGCTGTTCTGCTGACAGTTTCCACTGGACATAACACTGACTTCAAAGGCTAATACTGACGTTTTTGTATGACACTGTAATTGGCTTTAACATGACCTTGCCTGAATTCCCTTTGGATCCAATTTACGTCACAAAATGGTGCCCAGATCTCTATACCTCCAAGAAGAAAACTTCTGTTTCATCAAGGTCTGATGCAATTATTTTCAAAGTGTGCAAGGAAAAAAAAATATAGGTCTTGAAACCCACTATTCATCATAGAAATGTGCTAATAACCATCAAGCACTGAGGCTGATGCCCGCAAAAGGTTGATGCCAATAAATGGAAAAATCATTTAGGAGTGATTTGACTCTTTAATCCTTTTCTCAGGCGCCTGTTTGCAAGTGACTTAAATCTGGACTGTTAAAAGCACTTGGACAAAGTTCAATTGTATTTTCTTCAATTGTGTTTTTGTCAGGTAGAAGGAAGGTGAGAATAGAACTGTATTACAGTATTTTGGAAAAGGGCAGGAAGCGTGCAAGGATTAACACCAATCTGGGTAAATTTCTGACCCAGAAAATATATGGATCCTGCCATCAAGAACATAAGAGATAACTGCTCAGCATACTGAAGGAGAAAATGTCTTCATTCTTATTTGCTGAATCACCTGCTATAAAGGTGAAACTTCTCAACTCTCACACCTGGAGTTTGCTCCCCAGGATTCCATACATTAAGTTGCTTTCCTCCCTTCAGCTCACATTAAACAGGAATGTATGGGGTCTAAAAGTCTTTGAGGAAAGGTCAGAAATTATTTGATTGTCCATTCCTTGCCACTGGAATCAGGGAATAGAAGACACTCCTACTCCTTTGACACAGATATTCATGCAAGTTGAACTGACTGATGACAGAAGACCACTGTGTCCACACAACAGATGAGATTGCTGTGGGGCAAACTGTAATTCAAAGTTTGGCTCTGATCTGGCCATAGCCTGTAAATATCTGTCCCCACCATTGCCTTCCTCGAATGAATGCCATATCCAAACATTGTGCTGCTCTGTTCTTTCTGGACTTCTGAGCACATTTATAAATTCATCTGCAGCAAGTTCATCTACTGCACTGAGTATTTCATCAACTCCAAACTCATGTAGAGATGGATAATTTCTGTACTTTCATCCAAACTGCATAAGACCATAAGATAGGTGTGAGCAAATCTCTGTTATAAAATCATTGCTTTCCAATTCCACATGACCCAGGTTTTGGGAGAAGAATGGGTTCCAAAGCTTTTTCCAACAGAAATACAAGCCATGCTTATTGTGTAACAGTAGAAGAAGTCGTAACAAGACATGGGGTTTAACAGCTTTAAAGCATTCACTACCCACTTTTTTTTTTTCTTTATTCCTCCCTCCACAAGCCCCAGCATTCTCTCCCAATAGCATTTTGAATGACACATACCCTGGATGAGCCTCTGACAACCTCAGACAGCTGCTTGATGGCTTTGGTGCTAGTCGTGATGGTTTTATTAGTCTCTTGCTGGGTTGCGTGCCTGCAGAAGAGGAGAGGCGATGTGAAATGCAATTGAAACTAATTGCATAATGAGATACTTAGAGAGCTTCATCAAACTGCAGAGAAGTTGAAACAACACAACACACATCACATGGAACCACGGTAGACCATGCAAATCTTGTGTCCTGAGTAGCAACAACAGACAGGGCTGTATGAACTCCTAGCAAGGAGCTGCTCAAAACATCCCTCTCCGAACAGCACAAAGAAAATGGCTGTAGACCTACAAAGTCAATGAGGGAAGGGATCTAGCAGGTAGCCAGGCCATCACAAAAGGTTGGTATTGCAACTGAAATTATAAACATAAAGGTTATATAGAAAAGAGAAATGAGATGGGGAAGTTGTTTGATGGCTTGTCCAGAAAACTATGGTTGCTGGGGAGAGAAAGAGGCAGATGTTGAGCAGGACAAATTTCCTTATAAAGGTCACCTCCCTGCTAGTAACACACTAGCTCCAAAGAAGCACTGTCAACGCACAGAGGAATATCAAAGCACATCTGAGAACATGCAGGCAGCAAGCCAAGAGAGTCATGATTCCCTTTTGCACCTCGAATTCCACTACAATATGTCTTGTAAGCTGGTCGCTGGTACCTCTGGTCAGGACCAAACAAAGTAGGGGAAAGTGATGTAAGCACTGCCCATATGGATTTAGCTCAACTCAGTAGTTCCCAAGTTTCATAAGGTCAATGGAGTATTTTTAGCCTCTTAACGTCCCCAGAGAGAACTTCAAACTTTTTTTTTCTTTTTTTCTTTTTTTTGCTTCAAAACCTTTTTTTGAAGAAAGGGGCGGCTTTCAATTATGTTTCAATCAAAAAGTCAGGAAAGGCTCAAAAAACACCTAAAGAAAATGATCTTTTTCTTCCTTAGAGGACATCTTTAAGTCATAGCTGTAGTGAAAAACTCATTTGTCAGCTACTCTTTTTCAGTCAGCAGGATGCAGAGTGAATGGAAGCTCTTTGATTAAAAAAAAGGATGGCTCATTAGGACCCTTCTGTCCTGAAAACATAGGGCACGTCTCAACCTTTTAGCTTCTTCCATCGGTGAGGCACTGGAACAGGCTGCTCAAAGAGGTGCTGGAGTCACCGTTGCTGAAAGTTGTCAACAAAAGGGTAGATACAGCACTGAGGGAGATGGTTAGTGGGCATGATGGCGGTTGATGGTTGGACTAGATGATCTTAGAGGTCTTCTCAAACTTTAATGATTCTATGACTCCTGCTGCTCTGACAGAACTGACGGATACTATCTCTTTCAAGACTTCTTTCAATGTTTTCCATATCTCCTTTGAAGAACAAGCACAGCCCCAAGCACAGCCTTTACCTAGCACAACTTAACTACAAATACATTGAGCCTTATCTGTAAGCACTGGGACAGAGTAGACAGACCAAGAATTGCAACATTCACCACAAGAAAGTTCAGATGTTTTCATCCACAAAATCAACTTCTTTGCACAGACAGAACAGGTGGGAAAACTTCTAGGATAAAAGTACACTGACTTTATGCATTGGACCTACCCAGTAGTCAAGGAAAAGGTTGGCATACCATGACAGTGACATCTCTTAGCTGCAGAACAGTAATTCAGATGTATGTTAAAGGTTGAACATGTTTAATTACCACTCAGCAAATAAACACCAAAGGGCAGCAGCATCCTGAGGGCACATGGAGCTCCTGCAAAACCCCACAGGTGATGGAGTACATTGCTCAGGGGCTGTTGGTGGGAGGGATGAAGCTGAAGCAAATGCTTAATTCCAGGTACACAGAATGGTTTTCCCCTCCCAGTGATCCACATGAGGTTTTTGAGGCTCCAAGAAAGCTGGAGTTGAGTCCAGGGATGGGGACCTGGGACTGGGGATGGGGACATGCGAATGCCTCATCCTTGGAAGCATACAGAGCCAGGCTGGATGATGCTGTGGGCAACCTGGTCCATAGGGAGGTGTTCCTGCCTATAGCAGGGAGGGAGGAACTAGATGATCTTAAAGGTCTCTTCCAACCCAAACCATTCTATGTTCAGAGAAGGCACGGATCCTTTGGCACCACAGAGGAAAGAAAAACAATCTACTACAAAGACAAGATTGGATCAGATAGCTAGTTTTTTCAGAGCACTCCTTAGTTAAGGTAACATTTCTGCATCCATTCATCAAAATGCATTTATTTATGATCGCATGGCCCACAACACCAGCTGACTAATTCCATTCCCTTTAATTTGAAATAGATGAGGTCATCTCTGCCACAGTCAGGTATTCCACACCACCATCACAAGAGAGGGAGCAGGGAATTAAATCCTGCCCAATCACCTACCCTGAGGACTAAACAATTAGACTCGTCTCTAATCTTTTAATCAAGTAAATCTTGCCACCAAGTGCATGAATTCCATAATTCCGTCTCAAGACGGAGCCTTTCATAATGCTAGACTTGACGTCCAGTTATTTTGCAGACCTCATTAAATTATCTGCCTGCTGAACACGTCAGGGATTTACGTACCAGCAATTACTGATCCTCAAAGTAAAATGGTGTGTTAGGCTTACGCGTCTGATCCTGCCCAATTTCTGAAGCCAAAAAGAATCTCCTGCATTTGTATTCTAATGCAAATTTGATGTTAGATACCTTATGTAACAAATCCATACATCACACAGACTTTGCAGTGAGTTGCTACCAAAAAAACTGGATGAGGGAATAAAAAAAAAAGTTCTTCTTTCCACCACTTAATTCAAAATGCACTTTAACTAACAGGCTGGTGCTTGATTTTAGTAGTTCCCAGTATGCTGTCAGTGCAATTAACTTCTTATTCTTCAGCCTCACAGATATGCACACGAATCAGACACTGATTATATTTAATTTACATTAAATGCTATTAAGATCTTCAATAAAAATAGGGCCTCGAAGCTCCAATCCCTGCAGGATTTGATTTTAACATGTAATGGTAACAAGATACGCCACTATTATTATTATTATTATTACTATTATTATTATTATTAGCTTTCTTTATATTCTTCTCCCCTCACAAGTGTGGAAGGTAATTAAAGGGATATCTCTGATGAATAGAATTTGCTTCTGAAAAAGTCTTTCACACAATAGTAAGTAAAACAGTCTAAAGAGATACAGACTACCTAAAATATAAACTTTGCAATGGACTTACCCAGCTACAGTAGTACTGTAAAAATTAGCACTCCAAGAATAGAAAAGAAAAGGGCATCTCTTAGGAAGAATAACACCTCTTGCTGTGCATTTCTGTACGCACAGAGATTGCAAAGACAACACACTAAATAATACAAGAGATGTCACACTGCTGCCTGAGCATTTCCTACGGCTTCTGTTTTCTTTACCAGGGAACGATGGTCCACCAAATCCACAATCTCCAGCACGCAGCTGCTTACAGTGTGTTTTTTGAATGATCGTATCTGTAATTAATTTATCCAGTTTTAAAATGGGCATAGTGAAGATGCAGATGCAGTGACAGCTGCTTCCCTTCTCTGCGATGACAGACTGAAGGAAAGATAAACACCATCACTCCCAGCATCCCCCTCATTTGTCCTTCTTTCCCCCAGCTTTTATTGCAAAGAATGATGCCATATGATGTGGGACATCACTCTGGCCAGTGTGAGTCACCTGTCGTGGTTCTGTCCCCTCCCAGCTCCTTGTGTCACCTGGCAGGACACTGAGGAGCTCAGCCACACCTCACAATAACACTTGTTCCTGAAGAGTTTTGTTTTCTTTTCCCATAAGGAAATGCAAATTGTAAATATTCATGTACAACGGAGAGAAACCTCATAAGATTCAGCATCCTCTTTGGCACAGCTCAACTGCATTGCAATGGAGAAAGCATTTAAGAGATGGTGCTCAGTAGGTTTGGGTACAACTATGCCAGGGAGCTACTATAAGCCACTCACCTGCCTTTTGACAACAGCTACAGCTCCCACCACTGCAGTTTTTCTTGTGCAAAGGAAAGTGAAAATTGTAATGTGAATTGTAATGTTTTTCTGCACGGAGCAGAAAACTGAGCAGCACAGTCTGTGGCTCAAGCAGAAACAGGTTAAGTATCTGCATGTGAATATATTCCATAGTTGTCAGAGGCATAATTACGCAAGGGTGCAACAAGCATGCAGAAAGATATTATTCACATTGTAAAAGTTCAGCCGATCTGTTGTCTGTCGTACAGCTGGATTTTGTGAAGGATTGTAGGCCCTGATGACAGACCACATCAAACTCCAATAGTATTTATATAAAACTTTACACATTAGCCATAGGGAGTGTGCAAGGAGTACTTCTAGTCCCTAAAGGCTGTGATTTTTTCTCTCTCCACCTAATCAAAGTTTTTAACTTCAGAGCAAAGCCAATGGAGGACCTTCATGATCTGTGTAGGGAGGACCCCCATGGATGCTGCAGGGAAGCCTACCCTACAGCAGTAATCCACACCTTTTGGGTGTCCCTCACACAGCTCACACAGCTGGACTGATCCTACAGCAGAGCTAAGGATATTTCACAGAACCGCAGAATTACAGAACCACAGAATGGCTTGGATTGGAAGGGACCTCAAAGACCATCTCACTCCAGTCCTTCTGCTGCACGCGTGGCTGCCAACCATTACATCAGGCACCAGATCAGGCTGCTCAGGGCCCCATCCAACCTGGCAATTCGCAGGCTGATGCATCCAACACTTAGGTTAGCAAACACTTCACAATAGGATGGAAAAATATGCTGGATTATGTTGCTATAATTCTGCCCACAGCCAACACTGTGCCTCATCCCCTGGGGCTGCAAGCAGGAAGGGATGGAAGCAGTGGGCATCTCTCATCTCTAAGTATTTATTGCAGAGGTAAACAAAGCAGAAAGATGAGCTAGGAGGAATAGTTGCTTTACCAAGCCTTAAACTATCTTTATTACTGTACCATTAAAGCCACCAAAGGAAGAAAAGCTAAATCTACTTATTCAGTCTCCACAGTGATGCTCAAACTTTTTTTTTTTTTCCTTTCTTCTTTAGGAACTGCTG